CACGCAGCTGGGCCGCAGCTGTGTGTTAATTGGGCTGTGGGTTGAGAACCACTGCACTAAAGCTTCTCAACAGAACAGCTGCAAGAATTTTTAACTATGAGCAAAACAATGTATTTCTGCCCTAGCCTCATTCTCAGAAATGGCTGAACCATTTTTCAGAACTTCATAAACAAATGTAGCTTAAGGTAGTCATCTTGCATAGAGAATTTCAGCCCAAACAGTAATAAGCAACTAAAAATAGGTCTTATAGTGGGAACTGTCAGACAACCTTAACCATATGCTGCACTCTAGCTCCACCTAGAATAGAAGACCTTAGACGGACATGGAATTTTGCAGACATATAAAAAGATATAGTCCCTACCCCAAAGAGTTCACAGTCTAAAGTTTTGATCCTGAGGTGTGCTGTACACTGGCACTTCCCTTTGAGCTAAAGGGCAGAGATACAGGGAGGAGTCACACTGTGGAGAACCTTGAGCATGAAGATGAGGAGTTTATACTTAATGCAGAATGACCCTGGGAAGCCAGCAAAGGCATTCAAACAGTGGAATAACATGAACAAAGCAGTGGGCAAGGAAGGTGATTTTAGCTGCAGCATGTTGTAGGGATTGCAGATGGGAGAGTGAGAGGTAGGGAGGCCAGAGACAAGGAGGTTTCAGTACTTGAACAGAGAGATGATTAGGACATGGCCAGAGTTTTATAAATAGGGTGAAGAATACAGGGCATACTATAAAGAAGAGGTAGAGGGAGAACCAGCGGAGCCTGGACAGAGAAGGAAAGAGAGATCAAAGGTAACCCCAGTGTTATGAGTAGGTCAAGGAGAAAGAGGAGAAAAGGCCATGCAAGTTCTTTCACTAACATTTGCCTCTTCTCTGAGCTCACAAAACCTCTATGACACAGGAGCAAGTTTTACCAAGTGTCAGCATGTTGATGGAATTCCACCTGAGAATTGACTTGGGGCTAAAGTGACTCTGAACATTTCATGGCAAACTTTCTACATTGCTACTCAGAATGTCAAGCTGAGTTTGTTGTTTGAGGTTGATCGTATAAGACCTTAGATGGGGAGAGCCTACCGTGAGGGCTAGTTGCTGCTGTCTTCATGCATTCTTTCAGGGAGGTGGGCCACCTTTTGCTTGCTGTCTCTTAGCCAGCCAGCACCAAATGTTGGTGGCAGTGAGTGGCCTGGGTGCAGTGTGCGGAAGAGGGCTGTTTATCACTCCCCTCCTTCAAAAGACCATCCAAGAGCTGAGGAGGCAGTGGCCCAGCCTCGGGCCCCTTCTCTTCCTAGAGGACATCAGACTGGAGAGTGATCCATCCCCTGAAAATGTCAAAGAAGAGGGAGTAACCACAGACCATTCCCTGTTAGATTTCATTGGGCAGTGGTGCAGAGAAGGCCCTGTAGGAGTGATGTGGAATGAACTGTGTGGACAAAGAGCTGCATTGCCAAGGTGATATGTCCTAATAGTTCCAAGAAGCATCTAAATCCTGACCTTATTTACATTCCTCATCCTACAGGATGAAATATTTTGAGAACCAAGCAGTGGGGATGGTCCATGAGGGGAATGAACTGGTTCATAGCTAGGAAGAGGGAAACCAACAAACGATTGCCTGTCTAGTATCTTCTCAGTTTCATTTCCTTCTTCTGTTTTCTCTCTCCTTCTCTGTGGAAGAAAAGGGAGATGGGTCACATCCCATGCCTCTTTATATACCAACTCCAGGGCTTAGAAAACTTAGCACTTAACCTCCTGCAAATATTCTCCAACTTTGCTATTCCACAGGGACAACATCAAAAAATACTTTAAAAGGAGACAGTTTGTCAGCTATTTGTAGGTCTTCATTGAGCAAAGTGTTCTCCAACATCTGCTCATCAGTCAGCTATCCCTAGCCTGAGCAAACCTGATGGAATGAGTGGCAGAAAGATGACATTGTTTTATGCAACAAAAGTAAATTTACTGGAAAAACTCTGCAGCCTTCTAGCTGGTGCTTGCTGTGTATTATATGTAATCAGTGGTCTCTTCCAATTGATTGCTCACGCTGGAAGCTAACCATCCAAACGTAGAAACCGAATACAAGAGAAAGCCCGGGAACTTTTTTTGAATGCTGCATTTATTTATTTATTTATATTCCCCAGGGTTTGATAGACATCTCTATGGAAATTTGCTGCTTTACTCTCTGAGTAGCATGTGGCTTAGGCAAGCGGTGACATAGCACATGGAGTGTGGAGAATATTCAAGGCAGTGGTCACAGTGAATAGCCAACTAGCAATGGCTGAAACTCATTTGTGTGATTCATCCACTGAATGATTTTATAAAAGAGGAATAATAATTCTTTCCTACTTCACAGGTGGTTTGCAAGAATCAGTTCATATTGCAAAGTGCTTTGAGATCCTCACGTGGGAGTGAAAATATTATAGCAAAAATTCCCATGATCTCCCATCATTTATTTGCTATACAGCTGCCATACCGTAAAAATTGTTTGGCTGTGAATCAGGATGTTCCACTTCCTCGTGCCATTTCATCCTTAGAATAAGAGGGGGAAACCCAAGGAGATGAGTCATTGAGTTCCAAAGCAGGTCCCTGGAAGAGCTGAAACTCAGATTCATCAACTGTGTAATGTATTCCATGATCAAACCCTAGGCTAAGGGAGGAAGAGAGGATTGTCTCCAAAGGCAGCTATGGTCTGGTCTGATATGATGTTAGCTAAACCGGACATTTAGGAAGTTGGCCATTAGCCAGGATGTCTCAAGTCATGTTTATAATTCCATCATCTTTTTAAAGTTGTCATTCCAGGAAACCACTTTGTGAACCCAAAGTGCAGTTTATTACCCCTTTCTAATATTTTTCATTGTTTAACATCAGCTGTGTGTCACTAGCTAGTGGTTCATCTGCATGACTCAGTTCCCAAATTCAGCTGTTCAACTGGACCTTCTAGCCCCTTTCTTTACTTTGTGGGGCGAGGAAACCAAGTACAAGGTTTCAACTTACAGGGTGTCAGTTTTTATTGTTTAAAATTAGGAGGCCTCACGTGAGAGTGTGGCCCCACTGTGCCCAGCAAAGTCTAGAATTTAAATAGACAACACAAGCAAATAGTGTGAGGGAAAACAGACGCTGAGAGGCGAAGTGATGTGCCCAAGGTCACGCAGCCTGGCAGTAGCAGAGATAGCAATAGAACCCAGGTCTCCTTACACCCCAGGCAGTGCCCGCTGTGCTAGACTGTGCTCCTCCAACCAGTAAAGTTTAGATTTCTTGTGCCTCAGATAAATACTCAGATAAACTGGTGGACTGGTAAGAAAGAAATGATCTGCAAGTAGGAAGGCAAATAGAGGCTTGTGTGTTCTATCCCTTTCCCATACCTCCTGTCTATCTTGTCTATTTAGATTGTAAACTCTGCAGGACAGGGACTGTCTATTAATCTATGTTTGTACAGTGCCTAGCACAACGGGGCCTGTTCTCAGTTGGTCTCTAGGCACTCCTGTAATACAAACAACAATTAATAGTAATAATAAGAGGCTGAGGGAGGGGAAAAAAGGATGATCTGGTAGCTGTGACACTAGACTGGGATTTAAGAGAACTGGGTTCCGTTTGCAGCTGTTCCACAGACTCACTTTGTGGCCTTGAGGAAGTCACTTAAACTCTCTCCACTCAGTGTCACATCTGGGAACAATAATTCATCCTCTTTCTCCCAGTCTTCATCTGTCTAGGCTATTTACACTATAATTTTTCCAGGGCAGGGACTGTCTTTTACTCTGTTTGTACAATGCCTAGCACAACGGGACCCCAGTCTCAGTTAGAAGTCTAGGCAGTCCTAGAATACACATAATAAATAATACATTAAACAATAAAAGATTATTTAATAATAAAACAGTAGCCAAGAAAATGGGAGAAACTTCCTCTCTCAATTCCACGGGCACAACCCCCTTGACTTTAATGCACTAGTGTAACTGAGGAGAATCTGGGAGAATAGAAAGGAGGGGAAAGAGAAATGAAAATGTTGCTGTTTTCTTCCTCCAAGATGACATTTAACCATCGGCTTTTAGCTTCCATCACTGCTGTTCTCTCGTTAGGCAGCCAATAAACTGAAACCACCATCAACCCTTTATTTTTTTGTTTTGTTTTAACATTCAGAGTTCCCACACACTGACATTTTCAGAACAGCAAAACCTCCTGCCTTTGTTTCTCATACACAGGCAAATAAATAATGGTGGGATAAACCATGTTGCATTCCAAGTCAGGGATGTCCCATGAGATTTGGAGAGGTGGCACAATGCCTTTGCCTAGCAGTAGGTCTCAGATACCTTGTGCTCAGTGCAGTAGCAGTGGGAAGGATGGTTTCCATTAATGGAATATTCTGCAGCTTGATTGGCTGCTTCCGTGTGCCGATGACTGTGGCTGTGGAGGGGAATGAGAGTGGCCAGCCTATCGAAAGATAGACCCATGCAGCTGTCGCAGTAGGATGGTGTGCCCTTGATCAAAGTGTGAGAATGTGGCACCTTTTCTGGGGACAATGTTTGCAGCAAGAACCAAAACGAATGGATTTGTTTGTGTGGCGGTAATTTTTAAAGGGACTGACGATGGCAGAAACGAGTAACCAAATCCCTTTACAGTATGAAGGGCCAAACGTGGGGCTTGCTCCTCTCGGCAGCATTGGTAGAGATAGGAAGGCGCTGAGCAGTGTTGGCTAAGCTCTTTCCAGGAGTACTCCCTTTTCACAGAAGGTTCAGGCAGAGTGCGCTGGGAGTGCGGGGTAGCTCTCTGTATTGCCCTCCCTATACCTACTTTTGAATGGATCAGCATGTACTTCACTGCAACTTTTGACCAAGGCTAGCAAGCCTATCAGGATGGCAGGGCCCTGCCCATGTTCCAAAGAAGCAGCTTTGTCATACCCCAAGGGGCCAGAGAGCGCAGGGGATAGTAACTTTTTTTGTCTGTTGCTGTTTCCAAGGTCCGTCTGGCATTGTGAGTGTTTTGGGTTATTTTACAACTTCCTCCTCTTTCTCCTCGCAGGGTTACTTAAAGCAGTGCCGGAAGAGGAGAGACATGTTCAGCGATGAACAGTTAAAGGTCATATTCGGCAACATCGAAGATATCTACAGGTTTCAGATGGGTTTTGTCCGGGACTTGGAGAAACAGTATAACAACGAGGACCCCCACCTCAGTGAAATTGGACCTTGTTTCCTGGAACATGTAAGTTTTTAGAGGGAGTGAGAAGGCAGGAGCCATTTCACATGACTGGATCTTCACTGTTCTGGTGGCGGGTTCCTCAGATTACAGACCAGAGGCTACCTTGACTATTGGTTTCTTGTTGCTAGATGTGGAAATGGGCAAACTTCAGAAGTGATGCATAAGGTTATAGGACATAGAAAACAGTCAGTGAATCTGCTCAACATCTTACATGTCTCGACCCAATTGCAAGGAGTACGAGGAATGAACAGGAAGAACTGGAAATACTAGTACTTAATAGCTAAATTATGATTTCCTAGGCATCACTGAGGCTTGGATAAATCTCATGACTGGAATATTGGTATAGAGGGGGATAACTTGTTCAGGAAGGACAGGTAGGGAAAAAAGGAAGGAGGTGTTGTATATATTCTTGATGTATAATACACTTGTTCTGAGGTCTAGGAGGAGGTGACAGGCAGACCAGTTGAAAGTCTCTGGATGAAGATAAAAGGGGGGGGGAGGGAAGCAGGGACAGCATCATGGAAGTGGTCTGCTACAGACCAACAAATAAGGAAGAGAAAGTAGTTGAGGCATTTCTAGAACAAATAACAGAAAAACCAAACCACAAAAACTGGTAGTAATGGGGGGCTTTAACTACCCAGACATCTGTTGGAAAAGTAATATGGCAAAACACAACATTTCCAGTAAGTTCTTGGAATGTATTGGGGACAATTTTTTGTTTCAGAAAGAGGAAAAAACCAAGGGCACAGCCATTTTAGACTTGATTCTGACCAACAGGGAGGAATTGGTAGTGAATCTGAAGGTTGAAGGAAATTTGGGTAAGAGTGATTATGAAATGATAGATTTAGTGATTCCAAGGAAAGGAAGGAGTGAAAGCAGCAGAATAAGGAAATGAACTTTAAAAAAGCAGATTTTAACAAACTCAGAGAACTGGAAGTTAAGGTCTTATGGGAAGAAAATCTAAGAGACAAAGATGTTCAGGAGAAATGGCAAAGATACGGTATTAATGGTGCAACAGCAAACTATCCCAATGCAAAGGAAAGACAGAAAGAACAGTAAGAGGCCAATATGGCTCCATCATGAGCTATTTAATGACCTGAAAATAAAAAAGGAATCCTTCAAAAACTGGAAACATGGGGAAATTGCTAAGGATGAATACAAAAGAATAGTACAAGAGGTTCTGACTGTTACATCACTTATTCCTCTGTTCGTCAGTTTCCCCATCTATAAAATGGCTACACTACTTACCTGACAAATGGGTTGCAACGCTTGATTCGCTAATTTTGGTAAAGTGATTTGAGAGCCACAGTTCCAAACGTATTACATAACTACAAAGTATCATCATCATCAGTATCCCTCATATCAAAGTGCAATCTAATCTAAATCAACCAGTAGTGTTCCACAGAAGTGAAATAGGGCTATATAGAAATTATTCATATAGAATTTAATAAAGAATGAGATCTTTTCCTTTGTCTTTTAAAATCACACTGTGGTATATAAGGGATAGAAACCTTTATTCAATATTACAGGATGGTTTAAAAATGTTGCAAAAAGATTATCATTCTCTATTTAATTCTGAAGGCCTTTTCCAGAAGAGGAGATTATTATTATTTATTGTTATTTATTATTATGTATTAATAATAATAATAATAATAATAATAAATAATATTATTAATAATAATAATAGTAATGATAATGTGGCTATCCTCCAAGCTAAATTTCATGTCTGATACTTTTTAAATGATTTTTTAAAAATCAAGAGTTTTGGCAGGGATAGAAACCTTCATGCTCCAGGGCATAAGCTGACCTCTGACTAAAATAGGTTTGGAAGACTCCCAGTGGGCATGTTGTCCTGGAATGGCCTTCTGCAGGGTTTCTTGCACCCTTCTATGAAGCCACTGGTACTGGCCACAGTTGGAAATGGACTATTTATCTGAGCCTGTCTGGCATTTCCTACATACCTATGTTCTTCAGGTACAGGGGAGACCAACATTTAACTGTATGGAAGCAATTTACAAATACCTGGCTCACCATATGGAAAGTTTTCTTCAAAAAATGGTTCTAAAAATAAATGTCAATCTGTTCTGAGACCTGTATTAAAGTCAAGAACCCGAGTTGTTTAAAAAAAAAAATCTCAACCCAAGAAACCTGGCATTTCTAATTGCACGCCAACTGAGCGGAACGTTTTGTTGCAATGTAAGCTGTCAATGGATTGATTCACAAGAAAGGAAAACACATGTTCGGAGTCTTGGCTGTAGCAACATGGCACATTTGGAAGGAATACGAACACATCTGACTTTGTACCCCCCTTCCCCTTGTGACTGTGTTTCTCTGCTGCGTGGAAGGATGCTGGCCCACCAGGCCTCATGCTGCCTAAGTGACAGCAAGGCAGCAGATAGCTTACTCATGCTAAACACACAGTAGCTGACAATAAAGCGCTGGAGGCTTTAACCCACCCCATCTTGCCTGTTACATAAGCTGTATATTACGGGAGCTGATAAATTGGCCAGTGTTGTAAATATGTCAAGAAAATTACAGTTCTGCTTTTTTAGGCTTTCCTTTAGGGAGAACGAAGTGCTATATCGGAGCTTATGTAAGAGGTGCTCTGATCCAGGATGTGAATCCTTTTATGTTGTACCTGGGCTGAGCTACGTTTCACCTCAGCAACACTTCAGTTTCATTAGAGAATCTCATTGGAGACATTAATGAAATTTCAGAGGGACACCATTAAAACCACTCGCAGCTTCTGCTAATTGCTGCTGGCCTTTGCTGCAAAGAACATCTTTCTTTTTTGATGGACAGTATTATAATAAAAACATCCCTCTTTATAGCTCTAACGGTGGTGCTGAGATGCTCCAGTGATGGGCATGTTAGAAATCTGCAGGGGGCAAACAGACTGGAAAACTCATAGTCTGAAGTCGTGGGAGAGTTTCACTACAGGGCTATATCCTCATGGTGGGGGACTAATCCCCTCCTGCAGACAGGTGGGAGAGCTTGAAGGAGGGGAACTGTGAGGCTCTTCTTGAAGGGTTTCCCCCAGGTTATTCTGAATGAGGGAAGCAAGGTGTTTGGCTCCTCAGAACTCCCGCATTCCTTGAGCCCCTGGAAGCACGGGGTCATCTGTCTGGAGTCTCTGTGCCTTCACGGTGGTTCTGGGGCCACGTTTCCTGATTCCCAGGTTCTTGTTCTATCCAGGAAGCCTGTCGTGTTTAAGGAAGTAAAATTGGATCAAAACAGGTAGTACAAAAGGCAGAGAGAGCAAACTGATCACATGCAGGGGTCGGAATGACATTTTCCCTTCATGTACGGCATGAAGGGAATGCGATTTCTGGTCCCACCCAATTATGTAATAAGCATTGCACTTCTGGCCAAGTGTGTTTAAGGAGTGAGCGTCTCCTTCCTCTGCATCATTAGATAGCAACCACAGCTTGCATGCAGCATATCAAAAGCTGGTCTTGTGGCTGAGATGTAGGACTGTGACTCGCATACGTGGGTTCAGTTCCTGTCTCTGTGATATTGGGTGTTCTCTTAATCTCTCTGTGCCTTAGCTTCCAATGTACTTGTACGTATCCTTTTCTCCTACCTCTGTCTGTATAGCCTGTAAGCTCCTAAGGGCAGGACTGCTCCTATTACTATATGTTTATACCATGTCCAGCACAATGGGACCCTGACAGAATCTAGGCCGGCCTCTCGGCAAGGTAATACAAATAAATACTAATACTAACAGACTTGATGGACTAGTGCAAAGGAGGAAGAGGTGGTCTTGTGATCAAGGTGTGGTACCAGGGGTGCTGGACCAGTTTTTATAGTGGGCGTGCTGAAAGCCATTGAACCAAACTGTAAACTCTGTATATAATAGAAACCACTTCAAGCCAGGGGGTGTGGCAGCACCTCTAGCTCCAGCACTTGTGTCTGGTTACTGTCTTGGTGTGTAACTGTAGGCAAGTCCCTTCACCCCTTCATGCCTGAGTTTCCCCATTGGTAAAGCTGGGATATTCAAACCTATCCCACATGGGTGGGGTGAGGCTTAACTCAAAGATTTGTCAAACACTTTGGGGAGCACCTGCTGGAAGGCACTCTGTACCTACCATTATTACTGTGCTGCGTGTGCTGCCAAAGGCCAGAGCTGTGACTCAGTGTCACCTTTGCCATTTTAAAGAAAGAAAACCCCATCTCTTGAGATGAAACAGAAAGCTCCCACATGGCTCTCTTAAGGGATCATCTTACTACACTATTGTATCTCAAATGTACCTGCAACAATGTGTCAGTGTAACGGATTCCCCGCAGAGACACAGTGCTAATTGAGTGCTACACAGAGAACAGGACAAGGCCTGCATGCTAGTAATCCAACATCAGACCTTTCTGCTGCTGCTACTGCTGCTGGGGTGTTTTTCTTTTATTTGTTGTAATTTATTCTTTAGTGTGACAAGCAGTTGTCTGATGCACTTTCCTCTCTTCCCTCTGTCTCTTTCTGTGTTCATTCCCCCCACCCTCACCTCTCGCAGCAAGACGGGTTCTGGATCTATTCGGAGTACTGTAACAATCACTTGGATGCATGTATGGAGCTGTCCAAGCTGATGAAAGATGGCAGGTACCAGCATTTCTTCGAAGCATGTCGTTTGTTGCAGCAGATGATTGACATCGCCATAGACGGTTTCCTTCTGACACCAGTGCAGAAGATCTGCAAATACCCCTTGCAACTGGCAGAGCTGTTGAAGTATACTGCACAGGATCACAGGTAATTAGATGCCTTTTTTTACTGTACTTGTGTTTTTGATGGCTTTTACTAACTGAGGACTTTTGATAGCCTATTTCTTTACATGGCATCTACACACACTAAATAACAAAGGGTTTTCTCTCTTACCTCTTCTTGCATCCAGCTGTTTCACTTCATGATAACTTGTTAAAATTAAGGCAGGGCAGAGGTTCAGCAAACTAGATAGAAAGCCTGCCTGAAGCACTTATTCCCAGTGGAACCAAATTGAACTCCATTGTAGTCAGAGACCTGAAGTAATGATAGTTAGCTGTACTTTTAGATGCTACCTGCTACTCTAGATGAATTATTGATTCATGTACTTGGTTAAGAGACATTAGCCAAAAAGGTTTGTTTCCCTCTCCTGACAGTGAACTCATCACAGCTGGGAATGGGAGCACCTCCCATGTTTGGATAGAAATGGGCCAGACCAGTAACTTGGATCTGAACTCCCTAAATTTGGGGGGTATCTGATTGTCGCAGGTTGTGTCTGTCACTGGTTTGGGAATCTGGGTTTGGATGTGAGAAGCACACAAGAGTTTGTATGTTTCTCTGAACTAGAGCTGGCCAGGAATTTGATGAAAAATGCCATTTTTGCCATTTTTGCAAAATTGAATTTTTCTCTGGGAAAATTTAAATAATGACTGCCCACCTGGACGACTCGTATCAGTTTCACTTTCTGCTTGCGCTAAGGCTGAGCACTCTGATTCAGGGTTCGACTCTTGTGTCTTATTCTCCTTTCCAGTTCCAAACCACTGTGATGTCACAATGGCATTTGCTGTTTTGTGATGTAAAAACAGGCTTCTGACTTAATGTAGGGAGAGGCAGCCTCAGGGAGGAGGACTCTGTGATTCCTCGTAGGTAATTAGTACTAATACCAATGGCGAGATGTACAGTGTGATTACACCGAGGGTAAATTACATTTTTGGGTTCAACATAGTTTAAAGCATTCCTTTTTCAATGAGGGCTCTTAAAATTACTATGTGATTATATAATTAGGTAGACCATGCATGTTGTGATGTTCTGAGGGAATCAATGCATTCCTGTGGTTAAGCTACAATCGTCTGAGACAGAGGCCTTGTCTACACTGCCACTTTATAGCGCTGCAACTTTCTCGCTCAGGGGTGTGAAAAAAACACACCCTTGAGCGCTGCAAGTTTCAGCGCTGTAAAGTGCCAGCACAGACAGTGCACCAGCGCTGGGAGCCATCCCCTCGTGGAGGTGGTTTTTTATAGGGCTGTGCTGCGACTACACAGCCACATTAAACGCACACATTGCTAGTGAAGACATATCTAATTAGTAGTTATGTCGGTGGGAGAGCGTCTCCCACCGACATAGCGCTGTCCACACCGGCCCTTCTGTCAGTAAAACTTATGTCCGTCAGGGGTGTGTTGTTTTTTTTCAAACCCCAACGGACAAAAGTTTTACTGACAAAAATGCTAGTGTAGACATAGGGTACATCTACACTACCCGCCGGATCGGCGGGTAGCAGTCGATCTATCGGGGATCGATTTATCGCGTGTAGTGTAGACGCGATAAATCGATCCCTGATCGCTCTCCCGTCGACTGCTGAACTCCAGCTCAGCGAGAGGCGGAAGCAAAGTCGACGGGGGAGCTGCGGCCGTCGATCCCGCGCCGCGAGGACACGAAGTAAGTAATTCTAAGTCGATCTAAGATACGTCGACTTCAGCTACGCTATTCTCGTAGTTGAAGTTGCGTATCTTAGATTGATCCCCCCCCTCCCCACACACACACACCCAGTGTAGACCAGGCCATAGCCTTAATTTCTAAAATATCTAACATCTCTAAAATTTCTAATATACCTAATATCTCAAATTTTTTGTGCCCACAGGTCAGGTTGTTAGATATCCTAAAGCTATTATCTATACCCCAATGTGTTTAATCCCAATTTGATTGTGGGAGCAAAACTGAAGGAAGAAAATTATCTGGTGGATTGATGCTCATCATGGGCCAGATTGTTAGTCTCTTCCTCTGAGTAGGACTTTACTACGCAAGAAGTAATGGGACTAATTACTTGGAATGAGCCAGGGTCCCATGTAAGGAAGGATCTTTGTATCATTTGTGAGTGGATACCATTAGATCTTTTCCTCTCTGGTTAGCTGAAATCATTCTCTTATTTTATCACTATAGATCTACTATATATAGGTCCAGGACAATGGGCCTGCATCCAAATTCCTGATCATTCCAGCCCAAGTTAGCACATGACATTTTGGCAAGAGGCCACACTTGCATTCTCACTGAGCATTGAAAGGAAGTCATTGCATCCCAAATATATCTGACAAGCAATTTATCGGCCTTAATTTTATTTTGAACGCTATCCTAATATTAATCCACCAGCCAAATGCTTTCTTCTGCCATTTTTCTTCTAGGTTCTTTGTCAACTCAACCGCAGACATGGGCTCAGAGCCCAGAAAGTTCAGTCAGTGATTCTTGCTTCATTAATGTACGAAAGGAAAAATGTACCTGCTGTTTCCTCTTCAAATGGAACATTAGAATTAGTGAATTAGCGTTACCAGTATAAAGCCCAGCTTCACTGGCACCAGCCCACTCCACGTGGAGGCAGGCTTGGGGGTGTTTTAAAATCTTGGCTCTGTTCAATTGTTCATTGTCTATGGGCCAGTTCATCTGAATTTTTCACAAAGGCACATCTGTTCAGTGTCCCAAGATTGAAACCAGTTTAATATTCATTAAATAGCTGAAGGTCATAAGTGCAACATTGCCTTGTGAGCAACTGGCATTGTAAGGCCACTGTCCAGTGATTTCATCAGGTTCCCTAATTCGGAGTTTCGGTGCAAATAAGATTTGGGGTAAGAAGTTGGTTTGGAATCAAAGGCAACCAGAGTTTTCCTGGACGCTTGGCGTTAGGAGTAGTTTTCATAATTTTTATAAAAGTGTAACTTCCTTCCATTGCTATGCAGGTAGTAACTAGGGTCTGACCCTTCAGGTGTGTCTATTGTGGGCTCATTGGGAATGCTGTCAACTCAATTAAAGAAGTTAATTTCTACGCTATGGGAGATCATGCTGTTGTGAGACTAGTCCCAAATGTCCCCTCCTGCAGATCAGAGCCAGAATTAAGTGTATGTGTGTGTATTGGGGTGAGGGGGAGCTGTTCTAATCTTTGAACTGAAATTAGCCACCTTTACACTCACTCAGCCCACTTGCATGCGTACAACTACTTGAATTGTAGACTTGATCCTATTTGCATAAGCCACACCCCTGAATTGTGCTGCCATTTTATCAGGGTATCCCCAGTACGTACACACACACGCCCTTAAGAGCATTGGCTCAACAGACTTGTCACTGTCTACCACACACATATTCCCCTCCCTGAAGGCGTCTTCTTCGGCCATCATCCTTAATTTATAGTCTAAGAGCCAATTCCTGGAGTCCTTTACTCACTATTTACACAGTGATTGGAAAGTTTTGGAACAGTAGGAGTTCTTTTTCATTCAGCGAGGGTTTTGCCTAAGGACCAAGTAGAAACTGAATAAGGACATCAAGACCTGAAATAATGTTAAAATAATAAATATATTTTATTATGAAAACTATAAAAAATATGCTGTATATTTTATTTTAATATTTCCCCAATTTATATCCCATTTGGGGCACTTACTGAGTTTCTGGATCTAAAATCATGGTAGAGGAAGGAAGCTCTGAAGTACATAGAGAAGTGGATTGGCTGTTTTCAGTATCCAATACTGAAGTATTCATAGCTCTAAACTTACATGTCCCCAGATGTTGGAAAATAGTCTTCAGCAAAGGTTTCAAGTGCAGGATATTACAAAAATAGTAGAGGAGTTGACTCAAAATGATATGCTAGTTCTTTGACATAATGAGCAGTGGGATAATACCAGATGCGTGTGAGAGTCTGAAGTCAACTTGGGTCTATAATGAGCAACTCTGCTCCTGAGAGGTATTTCCTGTATATTCCGGAGAATCAGGCTATAAAAATCTACTAGAATACAAAGGGTTAATCCCCTGTTCTAAATGTCACTGACAGAATCTTGAGCAGTAACCAGTAGAGCCATTTCCTCAGCAGCTGCATGAGATCTCCATTTTTCTCATTAGTTAGAAGTCAATATCAACCCTTAAGTTAATCATAAATTATGGCAACATTATATCAGCTGGCCTAGTCTGTCTTCCCAATAGAAATGAACATTAAGGTCTCCTGGAATGGAAAATGAGGCACAAGGTGGAAATCAATAGCATTGATTTCAGCATCACTTTTTAAAAAGACGGATCATCATCCTTGCTGCCCCGACGGGAGGCTATTTTCAGTCTGTTATTACACTCACATGCAGGGCCGGCTCTAACTTTTTTGCCGCCCCAGGCAAAAAAGAAGAGCGCCGCCCCCCCAACCCCCTCCCCCCCCGCGCCGCGCTGGGCCGAGCCGCCGAAACCCCTGCCCCCATTGCCACGCCGGGCCGCCCAAAACCCTGCCCGAGCGCCGGGTCGCCCAAACCCCCGGAGCGCCGCGCCGGGCCAGCCAAACCCCCACCCCTCCCGAGCGCCGCGCCGGGCCGCCCAAAAACCCACTGCTATTTTTAGCACACTAGCTCAAGCCCCACTAACTTAAGTCTTTCCAAGCTGCAGTGTAGAAATACCCTTTCTGGCCAGAAAGGGTATTTCTAACACAGCTGAACTGATTGGGTTTCCAGCCTTATGTCTTAAGGGTTGTAAGATCAATGACTTGTGTATTCTTTGCTGGCCGGGGCAGTTACCTCTGTATTCAAACCTGATATAGTGTGTTATAGACTGATGTTTTATAGTGACACATGTTTCGTCTGGGGACCCAGGGAACACCTCCTTCCTTCCATTATTCAAAGGCGAGGATAGTCAGATGCTGGGGCCAGAGAAGCTCTGAAGCCAACCCTTGCAAAAACAAGCTCTGGAAGGAGATTGTTACAATCCAGAAATACTTTGCCCTGACTTTGCTTCTGCCGGAAACACTGGTATGATCAGGGAGGCATGAGCAAGTCTGATTTGGGACTATAAATGTGTGTGACTTTATCTACAAATGTAGGTGGTAGCTAGATGTACATGCACACATAGACAGGGAATTGCTCACATACATAATATGACTATGAAACTGGCCAGGTCTGTCCCAGATAACTTGAGAATCACACATCCAGAAGTTCGGTCTGGGCATCAGATACATTTATTATAAATCACTGTAATAAGGAAACTAATTTTATAAAGGAACATTAACATTGAAATATTTTCCAACTTTCATTTTAATGAAACAACCCAAGGCTCCACAGTACGAGGTCTCCCAACATCTGCCTGCAGAGTAGTAGGGTTAGGAATGTCCAGACAGCCCCGGAATGTGGCTGTGCATCCTAACACATTTTTTAAGAGCAAGATCCACAGCTGCTGTAGTTCAGTGTAGCTCCATGTAAGTCAATGAAGTTACACTGACGTACAGCAGCTGAGGAGTTGGCCCATTAATTTTATTAGCATTTCACAGTCTCAGTTTGAAACAAGTTAATGTTGTTTGGAGGGGGAGAGGAGGGAGGGAGGGATTGACAAGCCAAAAAGCAACCAGCAGAGAAGGAGACATATCAAGAATAATAACAAGGGGCAAATTGCTGTTATTCCCCTTTCCTAACAGGCGCGGCAAGATGCTGTTAATAGATGCTGTTAATAATGATGAACCCTTGTACATTTCCCTTGTGTGTCAGGTGTAATTCCATGGGCTCCCTTTTGTGTTTTCTAGTGACTACAGGTACGTGGCTGCTGCACTCGCAGTCATGAGGAATGTGACTCAGCAAATCAATGAGCGGAAACGGAGACTGGAGAACATTGACAAGATAGCTCAGTGGCAGGCCTCAGTCCTGGATTGGGAGGTACAGTATGCATTGAGCAGTGATGGGCTCCAGTAGATTCCAGCACAAGAGGCAGAGGTGAATTGATTCATATCAGGATTGGGCTGCAACTAACACAGAGATGGCATGTTTAGGTGCTAGTAGCTAGTAAATGAGCTATCTCTATAAACGGTGTATATGTAGGTGTAAATTCCACATGGCCTCCAGAATGCTCTAGAGGACATGGCTCACCTCAAGCCCTTTGTACAGAACAGGCATGTTTGGGAGTAAATTGCAGGACAGTGGGGTAACCTGGGTTAAACAGAGGGGCAGAAGGATGCATTTTGTCTTTATGAGACTGTCTGCACAGCTGCTGGGAGGTGTTACTCCCAGCTCAGATAGATATATACGCACAAGCTCTGCTTGAGCTAGTACCCTAAAACTAGCAGTGTGGCAGCGGGGATTTGGGCTAGCTGCCCCAATACAGTCCTGGCCAACCCCTGGGTATGGAGTCAAGCAGCCAGCCCAAGCCACCACCCATGCTGCTGTGGCCATACTTCTATTTTTAGGTGTTAGCTTGAGCAGAGCTAGTGCATATACATCCACCTGAGCTGGAAATCACACCTTCCAGGTGCTCTGTAGACATACCCTATGAGAGAAGAGAGCCTATTCACGCGTGTTTGAGGGAGGGGCCTAAATTGATTCAGTGAAGGAACGTTAATGGATGCGCCAAAGGAAATCTAGGGCCTGGTTCTGATCTCATTTTTACTGGTGTAAATCTGGAGTAACTCCACTCACATCAATGGAGTTACGCTGGTGTAAGTGAGATTGGAATCACACTCCTAATCTCTATGCTGGTTGTGTGCTTTGTACTTAATCAGGGGGCAAGAAGAGAAAGGAGTGCTAAAAAAAGGGGCACGGGGGAGTGACCGGGCTAACAAGGCAGGTAAAACCCTGGTGATGATTTCATTTTCTTCATGAATATAGTATTATTATTACTTATGTATTAAACTCCATAAATGTGTATGGTTCTATACAGACATTTAACACAAATAATAATATAAATAGTCCAAGTCCCAGAGGTGTTAAAGTCTAAAGCGCCGATTCAGTGATTAATCATGCATGCTGAATTGAAGTAAATGGAACTACTTACGTGCTTAAAGTTAGACATTGAATATGTACCTTCCTGAATTGGGGCCTAATTGTGATCACGGCATAGTGAATGATCACAGGGGGATGAGCTGGGGAAGGGAAGCTGAGGGATAGTGCATCACCAGATCTTGCAGGTTACTGTTGTTTGCTACGTGCTCATCTGGGAGTTTTTGAATATCCATTGTTTTATCATCAAAATCTCTGCTTGTAGTTTGTAGATGGGATTGTTGAACTAGGCCAAAGCTGAGCACTTTTGTAAATCCTACCCTATATGGAATCATTAAAACACATTTTTAGCAAGAGGACTCTCACATTGATGCAACAAGTCCTGGATTCTCTTCTCTCTTACACCAGTTTAGATTAGGAGAAATTCCTTTGAAGTCAATGGAGTTATGCTGGGGTAAACTGGTGGAGGGAGAGAACTCCATCCTTTAATAGTTTTTCCAGACAAAACCTAGGAGGATCGGGGGGGAGAGAGGGAGAAATGTAGGGCCAACTCCTACACTCAGTTTCACTAGTGCCTCCCCATTGACTTTGCTGGGGTTGCATTGGTGCAAATGAGGGCAGGATTAGGCCATAACTTGGTAGATAAAGAGTATACGTGGAAATGATGCTATTATGGTTGGTTCTTACATTTTGACTAGCAGTTAAAGCAGAGAATGCAGATGATTTGGTTCGTGGCTTTATTGATTGATTCATTGTTATTTATTTATTTTTAAATCTCTGAGATTGACATGCAGGGTTGTTATTGCATTAGAAGACAGTTATCGGGGAGGGGGTACAAGGTCATCAGATGCGTCTTCAGCCGTAAATCCATTATATGTGATGAGTTACAGTGACTCATGTCTAAGAAATGCCAATTGTAAATAAACCTAGATTAAGAACAGATCAGTTTCAAGACACTTAATGTTCATGTGTGAATCGAAAGCCAAGGTGACCTGCACCTAGGAATGATGGAATAACAGTTTCCATTCCACCACCATCACCATGGCTGATAAATTCATTCTTATTTAGACAACCATCATCTCCTCAGCCCCCGCCCCAACAATTCATCCAAGTACTCTAATGGCAGATATGCCTGTCAGTCAAAGGAGATGGTGCTTTCTGAGAGGTAGTTGCAGTCTAGTAGATAGGGCATTGGTCAGTAAATCAGGAGACCTAAGTTCTATTGCTGGCTCTACCATTGACCTGCTGTCTGACCATATGCAGATCACGTCATCTCTGTGTTCCTCTATTTCTTGTCTACTTAGATTGTAAGTTCTTCAGGGCATCGACTTTCTTTCACTGTATATTTGTATAGTGCACCAGCTTTCTGATCTCAGCAAGGGCAGCTAGATGGTACCATAATGCAAATAAGTAATATTTTAGGGTCAGTATATGGCAAAACAGTCTTTGAAACAGGCCTGGGTCAAAAGCGTACAAGAAAATATAGGCAGGAGGAAAGCCAGTAGGTTCATTTTTCTCTGATCTGAAATCCAGATGGAGTATGGGATGGAGGTGAACCCAGTGCCAGCCAAACTTCAAACCACTTTCAGAAAGAAACTTGGTATAGCAGTCTGAGAAGGTGGTTAAGAAAACGGAACTCTTGACTTCTGCTCCTGGCTCTGACACAGTCTTCCTCTGTGCTCTTGGTCATACCATTGAACTTCTCTATGCCTCAGTTTCCCCATGTGTGAAATAGGCATAGTGACACCTTCCTTAACTAGTTAATGTTTGAAAAGATCTACTATGGAGCCATTTAGCACCAGGTTCACAAGGGGAACGTAGGTGCCTAACTGCCCCTTTTAAGCATCTAAGTCCAACATTTAGGTGTCACTGGCATTCACAAAACCATCACTCAACTGTCGCCTAACCCTGTAGGTGCCTAAAGTCCCTAGGTGCATAAGTTTCTATCAGTAAAGTCCCCTCATTTTCTGCTGGTGGGAATGTGCAAAACCCACCTAAGTCCTGACACCGCCAAGCTGGACAGCACTTAACTCACACCTATGCCCTGGTGGAATTCACAAAGTGGATGTTCCTCTGCTGCAGGTCCTGATCCAACAGGCATGCTCAGAGCACACCTAATTCATCATCATCATGGTGGTGGTGCTACTACCCCTCTCTTATACTGAATAGCCCAGTGGTTAAAGCACTCACCCAGGTTGTGGCAGATCCAGGTTTAAATCCCTATTCTGCCTGGATTAGATCAGGGATTTAAACCCTGGTCTCCCACCTTCGGGGGGGCACCCTAACCACTGGGCTATACAGTTATTCTCATACACTCTGCCCCAATGATTATGTACGTATTTCATATAAAGTGGAACAGCATCAACAGGAGAGAATGAGACCCACCTTAGACTACCGAATAGCGTAGTGGTTAGGGCACTCGCGGGGAGGATAGAAGGGAGGCACTGCCACCATCTCCTCCATTTTTCATGAGAAAGGGCTGACCTGGCTTAGGTGCCTAACTCCACGAGCGGTTTCATAACTGAGAGTCCTGGGTAGAGAGAGGCACCTCGTTCCAGTATAGAGTTAAGCGCCCAGCTCCCTTTGAGCGGCAGGGATTAGGCCCCAAACCTCTCCTTGACATTTCCTACTGGCTAGCCCCCGGCTCAGTGTACTAGCTTCTGAGAGTCCCTTTTCTAGGGGCCTAATTCTTTCCATGCATTGGTGGGAAGCCTGTCGCCTAACTCGGGGCTGCGAATGCTACGAGGCAGAAAGGCATTTAAAATATAAGTATTACAGTGCTGGTTGTTGCAATCCTCAAGTCCCCCATGTGAATCTAGATCTTAGTTACTTCAATATTCATATACTCCTAGGACTCACAAAGGGAGGGTATATTGGGACTATAGACATGCTGCTGATCCTAAAATAAGAAACATTCAGGGCCCAATCACAGCTGATTTAAGTATATGCAGTTCTGGGGAAGTCAATGGAGTTGTGTCTGCGTATGTCAGCAGTGAATTTAGCCCTCAGGATTCTCCAGCTGATCCAGTGTTGAAGGTTAACTTTAGAGTCAACATTTGAAAACTGTAAATGCCCCTTGGTTGAACAAGGCCTGATTTTTCATCCGATGGTTCACCCAAGCCCTGCTTAGCCTTTCTCTTCAGCTTTAGCTCAGTGCTCCTACAACGCTGCCTGGCGTGCGTGCGGGTGCTGTCTGTGCAGTGATAATGATGGAAATTGGGAAGGGATGCTGAGAAGATGGCTCTGCTTTGCTGATAACAGCTGATAGCCATGCTCTAGCGTCCAGCACATGAAGTCCTAGAAATTGGTGTCAATGGGAGCTTTACCTGACTAAAGACTGTGGGGCCAGATTCTGATCTCGCCTACTGTAGTGTAAATCAGGAGCAATTCCAATCTTTTTAATGAGGTGTAACTCCAGATATATGCTGGCATAGCTGACATGAATCTAGCCCTGATTGCGGACCTCTGGATCTGACTATAACAGAATATCACCTGATTTCTGAATTCCAAAAATATAAATAAACCTAAAAAATGCTGTCCCTGCCTACGCTGAATTCTCTAGTGCTTTGTCCAGTTCACTTATTAATGACTAAGAATATTGGACTTCCACCGCTTCCCTTGGGAGACTGGTTCACAGTCCGATAGCTCAGAAGCTCTCAACCAGGGGTCCAGGAGCGCTTTCAGGGGGTCCGCGGGCTGGCTGAAACCCGGTGCCCCAAGCCCCGGCGCTGAAGCCGGGAGCGGTGCTGGGCTGAAGCCGGCGCTGCCCACCCTCCGAAGCCAGGAGCACTGCGGGGCTGAAGCCTGCGCCCCTCCTTCCCCCGAAGCCAGGAGCACCGCGGGCCTGAAGCCAGCCTCCCCCGTCCCCCGCGAAGCCGGGAGTGGCACGGGGCTGAAGCTGCACCCCCCCACCTCCCGAAGCCGAGAGTGGTGCGGGACTGATA